CCCTGAAGCCCCAGGAGTGTCTGCCTGGGTTCCCCCATTTGGGATTTTTTGGGCATGTACTTCTACAAATAGAAAGACCCTGAGTTTCCCTGCTTGCAGAGATAAATGCTCATCAGCAAACAGGGACACCCAGGATTCCCCAGACATTCCTCTACTAGCAGAGGGGCATCCTGTGTGTTTTTGCACAAGATTGGGTTGTGGCCACTCCCAGGAGTGGCAGAGTCCTGACCCTGCAGGAAGGGCCATGCCTGAGGGGTGACAAATCAGGGCAACTGCCCCAGGCCCTGCACTTTGGGGGGCCCCGTGGACAGTGCTGTACAGGTCCTGCCATGGGCATGCACCACTACTGCAGGCTCTGCTGCTGCTGAGCACTGCTTGTTCCAGCCATTTGCTGCCCCCTCAGCCCCCAGCTCCACCGTCTCCAGCCGCTCACCACCCCCTCTTCCCCCAGCTCCACCAGCTCTGGCCACTCACCACCCTTCCTCTTGCCCCCGGGCCCTGCACAAGCTGATATGCCCTGGGCCCCACACACTCCTAGGGATGGCTCTGCCTGCAAGACAACAGGTGATGTCTATTTCACCCAATGAGGTGGATCAGCTGTGTTTGGACACATCCTGGCACAACTCATCTGCTTCATTTGGCAATGCCTTTTTATAACCTTAGACTTAAGGCTAAGATTTAAGTGTATAACAAAACTAGACTCATTAACAGTATCTCAGGGACTCAAACAGAGTGGAATGAGCCTGCCTTTAGACTCAGACACCTAGGTGCCACTTAGACTGCAAACAGATATTCAATTTTGTTCCACCGTATAAATTGTTATGGCACCAAAAAACAAGTGAACAGATGTCATAGCCCTTTACTGAGCCACAAACATTTAACTTCTGTGGCACCAACAAAGATAGTAACAATTTGTGCCACCTTTCTGCAGCTCACATCTGTTCACCAGGGGTAGGAGACTGTGGGCTGCCAATGACAGCTTGCACTCTTGCTGCCCCAGGCAGACTCACCCCTCACCTCAGGGGCCCAATCCTGGGAGAAAATGGTCTTGGGTGCCTTACCCCAACTTGGAGCATGTGCCTGCAAGCAGGAAAACCCACACTTGTAGACATGCCCCCCACCCCAACCTCCCATGTCAGGCATGGAGGACTCTCCCAGGAAGGGATCGCCCTGGAATATGTCTGCAAAGCACAGAGAAGGGAATTCCCCTAGAGGTTCCCAACTCTGCTTGCACATGGTGCTCCAGTCTGGAGACAGCAACAAGGAAAGTGCACCGAGTGCCAGAGAGTGCATCCACCACGCTGCCACCCCTGAATCAGGGGCTATGTGCAAGTGGAAAGGGGAGTTCCTCCCCTGTGTTGCAGACCACCACTGGGGGAATCATTCTCCCGACATACATCTGTAAGTGCTGGATGCTTTACCCCACCCCTGCTTGCACACCAAGGCAGGGGAACCATTGTTCCAATGTGCCTGTATGTGCAGAGAGGGCCCCTTGCACATGGCCACAGACCTAGGGGCAGCCTGACTGCAAAGCACTAGCATGATAAGTACAGTGACACCCCTTAAACCCCAGGAGGGGCAGAGGACTGACCTTGGGGAATGACAACCCATCAATATCTGTTAGATGTCCATGAAGTAGATCAGGATGTCTGTCTCCAGCCTGAGATACCCAATAGGTGGAATATAATGTGGCCTATGATTTCACTGAGAAAAAAGTTGTTTTTTTGTTTTCTGTATTTTTACCATAGGAAAATTAACACATGTTGACTATCCTTCTCTACAGAGTGCAGCAAAGTCACTTCAATTTACCTGCAAGGTAAATTTGGTAGGGTCATCTAAAGTGGGATATAGCTATACTTCTAGCTACTTCATGGTATGTAGTACAGGTACCTTAATTCCACTACTAGTGTTCTTTTTCCACTTAGGTTTTCATAATGGGATAACCATTGCATGTTTATTATCTCACTAGAAGAACAGAACAAAATGATGCCTTTGTGTCCGCGAAAATAAAGCTAACAAGTATATCAGACCCTGACTACAAGTGACAAAATCTCTTGCTATTTCTTGCCTTGAAACTGTGTCACTTTTTGACCTCCATAGAAAAAGACAGCATGGCTGTTAGCACACAAAAGGGCACTCCGCACACAAATGTGCACTGACAGATGTTAATGAAGGTGCTCCACTTCGCAGCACCTTCATCTGAACCCTCATATAATGAGGATTTAGATTGTTATGCAATCAGGCACTTTTAAAGCACTCTGTAGCTGTGAACTTCTGTGAGGGCATAACTGTAGAGTGTTTTCAAGGGGCTGATCATGCAACAAATGTAACTTCTGTCTGCACCCACAATCTGAAGGAGTAAGTAATAGGAAAAAAGTGGAGAGACTGGGTGAAGAGAAGTTTGACCCAGGATCATGGGACATCCTGGGTGTTTTCCGTGAAAAATTATTGTTACACACTTTGTAGATAAATTTCCAAAGTAAGAGAAAATACCTCTCCAAAATGATGTCCCAGAGTTTAACTTTTACACATTCACTTATGCAGCATAGAACTGGTTTCAGACCAGCAATATATTTCACATAGGTTATCCAAGAGTCACCCTTCTTTGATGTACGCTGGACTTGATCTAGTTCTTGAGGGCTATAACACTCTTTAATCCAGTACCTAAACTCTGAGCTACTGAGTCCCAATAAGTGAGAATGTCAAAACAATGTGTCATATGTTTCTCAGTCTGATTCAGCTCCTCTGGCATTAAAGTTAGATACCCATTTTGGATTCAGCATCAAAATAGATGCTTAAAATGGTAACAGAAGCCAGGTTCCTGATGCTGCTAAGTGAATCAGTGTTCAAAATGAAGCAGTATTTCTAAATTTTTTCATAATATACTCATGGCTTTAGAGATATTAAACCTGAGATTTTTATGGGACCTGTGAAAATTAGTGATTCAATTTTTCATCCATTGACTGACTACCAACTCCTGCTTCAGTCCCAGCCAAAATCACAGCTGAACAAGACAACATATGTAAACTTGCTCAATCTTTTTTTTTTCCCTTCATGTTCACCAGCACAGACACATGAGACCTACGGTACTTTCCACATTTTCTATGGTGAAATGGTCATTCCCATCCTACCTTCAACTCGGATTACTTTGGTTCAGCAGCTGTCAAACTACAAGCCAACACTAGTCCTGAAATGGAAGACAAGACCTTACCAGCCCCTTTTATCACTTATTTATATCAGAACAATTCTGAGCGAGTGCTGAAAGAGATCTTAGGGTGTGTGTAGATGAAATGGGGGCCCTAAATTGAAGTGGTAGGTTTTAAAAAACACAATTTCAATTTAGGGCTGATTAAACCCCCATGTTGTGCACACAACCTGCTGACTTACCTACCTCTCTGGTTGGGGGGTGGGGTGGGGAAAGGAGGTGAGCTGCTGGCAAGTGGAGTGGTCCCTGGGTTGCTGTGGGGGGCCAGTGTTTCTCTCTGTGGCAGCAGCGGCTCCCCGCTCCAGGTGGCACCTACCCACAGGCACCCAGCTCGAGCGGTCCTGGGGGGCACTGCAGCCATGGAGGGAAGGACTGGGCCCCCACACAGTTCATGCAGGCAGGCAGGCTCTGGTTTGTGGGGGGAAGATCAGGCTCATTGCTTTTCTTGAGCAGAGCCTGCTTTCCCGGGCTGCTTCCAGGCTGCCTGCAGGGCTTCCTGCGGAGCCGTGGAGCTACACGGAGCCCAGTACTTCACTCCACAGCTGTAAGGACAGCAAACTAAAACTCCTTCAAGGAGCTTTTATAGTCCTGTGGCACTTAAACTACCCATGTTATTTGTAGCTCATAGAATCAGAAACTAACACACAGTGTAGCTTTTCATATAAAGGCACAATAGGAATGAATGTATTAACTTCTGTGGTGCACAGAATGTGTCAGCTTACACACTGGCAACTATTTCCGTAAAACTCAACTGACTAACTCCATAAAAAGCCATATCAGAATTGTCTCCCATCTTTTCCTGTGCTAGCTGAACCAAGAGGATTAACCTAGTGTAGTTTAAAAATGTAGCGGTGTGCACATAGTTTTGAAAATGTTCAGCTCTTCTAAGCAAGTACTGAAAATCCCACATGGCCTGACAAATGGTAATGAATAGAACAGAGGTACATACTCAGTGGTGAATCTGGTTTTACAAAAGAACATCAAGTCAGGTTTTTGAAGAACTATAAATGATTTGGATCTGGATCCCATTTATCCAAAAACTTTCTCCAGGCCCATTTCTAGCAGTGAACTACATATGCCAAAACACAAAATTCCAACTCCAGCTATCAGACTTCTTAAAATTCAGTGGGCTTAAATCTGGTCATTTTGATTTGGAAAAGATCTGCAAAAATCTGATTCAGATCCTTGATCAGCTATTCATTATCTCTAGTCCCAGTCTGGGTCCTGGAATAGCTCTTTAGCATGGCTCAGACAAGATTCTATAATATTCTTATAACACAGTTTTGTAATGCCATAGTGTTAAATTAGTAAAAGTATTAATTACTTGCATTACAGCAGCACCTACACTATGCTGAGTAACTTAAAACTATGTAGGGGGTGCAGTTAGTGCCCTGAAGAGCTTATAGCTTGGAAAGACATAATTGTGGTAAGTGATCTTTAAGCAGTTTAAAAGTGTTTATCAGGGCAGGCCCTTTCTGTCTATGAATAGTTACTGGTTGACACATACACAGTTTCTAGGACACTAATGTAAAAGAAAAACAAGTATTTTTTTCCTATTAAGAGTTAAAAGCACAAATCTAAAAATCAAAATTAACATAGATGTAAACAATATATATTTTCCTACTGGTAATGGAAAACCTGAGATGGCTTGCACTTAATTTTAGCTTCAGACGCTAATTTTAAATGAAAAGAATGCACCAAAAACATTGCGAGTTTCATTGTGTTCTAATGGAATAGAAAACTGTTTTCCATATTTACTTAACCTTTGCCTCTTCTGCATTGTTTCCAGACTTACCTGCAGTTGAAGTGGGCCTAAGCCTGGTGTTGCTGCGGCAGCAGCTGCCATGGTAGTTGGGATCAGCTGAACAGGGTAAGGGTCACCTAAGTAAGAGAATAATAGAGGCGTCAGCACCTTTTATCTACTCTCCACCTGCAAATTAAAGTCCTGCATTCACTCTTTCCAAAAGCCTTCTTTTGTGTGCCTTGCTGAGGCCTAATGAAAAGCTCTATTGTGCAGCCTTTTACTAACACTCTTTTCACAATTCTGGCTGAGAGAGGAATGTGAATAAAAGGCACAAGCAATTAAGGCGGAAACCTCATCCTTTTTCATGATGTATTTAGGGAAATGGAAAGAAGTGCACATTGATCAGAGGGCTATACTTCGAAAAAGAGAATGAAAAAAGAGAGAGAGGGAGAAGAAAAGGAAAACAGTACAACCTTGATAAGATCACAGCATTAGAAGGGGACAAATTTACAGGCTTGTCCAGAATATGAAGTTAACCAAACTGAGATCATTGTTAGTAAACTGAACCTCATGTAGATCAAATATTAGGATTTATGTGAACAAGAACTGACACTCTTGAATGCTACATCTCCTCTTTGGTGAAGGCAATCTTATTTTACGGAGTCAGGCCTGGATCCTGCAAAAGGGATAAGTGTATGAAGTCAAGGGTGAAGTCAAAGAGATTAGATAAAAAGGTCAGAAGCTTTGCTGCTTAGTAAAACTGAGATAGCTTAAGGCCAGAAACTGCATTGTGCTAGGCAGTTCACTCTAAATAGGAGTAAAATAACAGTTTTAAAGATTGGATATACTTTTCATGGAAAATGTTCATTTGCTATCTGTGATGGCAAAAGTCAATAAGGAGAGACATGTTTCATTCCAAAAAGGAAATAGACATTTCTGATTTGTCCTTAAATATCTGACTGTTAAACAGACTCTTATTTGTCCTCCTACTAATCAAACCAAGAGGAAGGTGGATTATATTCTGTCTCCAATTGACAAAATGTTTGTCCAGATGACAAAATGACCCTTTCCACTCAACGAATAAAGATCATCAGACCACTGGTGCGTTGGCACAATGATCTGCTAACATGTACGATTAGCGCAGCATAGATTGAGCCATTTGAAATAAGATTAGGGCAGATGAGGAAAGATGCTACCTGAGGCTGCAGTACCTTTGTTTCAACAAGCATGCTGAAGTTTCCCTATAACATTTGTTGAACA